TAAACTTCCAGCAAATTGATAGGATATGAACTCAACTTGGAAAAAAAAACTAGTGCCCTTCCTATACAGCAGTAAACAAAGTGAGAGAGGATCAGGGGAGCCATCCCATTCACAGCAGCCTTGAAACACCACCCTGAAAGGGCCTGGTGGACATGGTCCACGCTTTTGATCCCAGCAGACAGAGGTTGGCAGATCTCAGAGTTTGAGGCCAGCTTAGTCTGCAGAGCAAGTTTCCCCCAAGGCTCTTACACAGTGAAACCCTGTTCCAAGCCATAAATACAACAACAACAAACCCTGGAGTAAGAAGCCAGAGTGATGGTTCAGCAGCTCAGAGCAGGTAATGCTCTTGCAGAGGACCCTAGGTGGGTTCCCAAAGCCTACCCAACTTCTCAGTCTCTGTCCTAGGCCAGCAGGCACCAACCATAAACTAACACAGGCACACACATATATAGAATAAAAAATATATCTTAAAAAGGAATACCTGGGAGTAAACCCGACCCAGTACGTGAACAATCTCTATGTTGAAAACTTTGAAACACTGACAGGCACTGCAGAGATGGCTTAGCAGAAGACTGAGTCCAGTGCCCACAGCTCCAGTGCCCACAGCTTACAGCCATCTGCAACTACAGTTTTAAGGGACTTGACACCCTCTTGTGACCTCCACAGGCAGCAGACACAGGTACATCACACTTACATATATGCACAGAAAACACTCATATAAAATAATTAAGTCTAAAAAAAAAGTGTAAAAGGGGAAAAATCAGGTGTGTGGTGTAAACCTTTGACCGGAGCACATGAGGAGTCAAGGTAGGTGGATCTACATGGGGACTTCTAGGACAGTCAAGTCTATACAGGGAGATCCTGTCTCATCATCACCAACAACAAAAGGATGAAATCAGAATTCACATCCAGGTAACTTTTGCTACTCATCGGCCAGACTCACCTCATGAATATCCCAGGTGGAAATCTTGTCCTGGGAACTCACCATACAGACAACTGATCTGTCTTGTTGGATTCTTGTTAAGCCACGCCCTGAGAGATAACATGCAGATCCCCAAATTCCTGCAAGGAAACCCCAACATTATTTGGATCAAGACACTTGAGGGGCAATTCAAACCAAGGAAGGTATGTTTCATTTTGCTCTCCCTTGTAGAAGGCTTGGATAAAACTTGTGGGAAGGATGAAGCAGAGGCAGTCAAGCACACTGCCGGTTGGTCCTTTGTTCAGATACTCTTTAATATGCTTCTAGAGATACAAAGGGGGTACTAGGAGCTGGGGATGGAACTCAGTGGGGAGAGTGCTTGGTTCTGTTCCTAGAGGCCTATAAACCGTAACCCAGTTCTCATTTGGAGGCACGAGTATCAAGGTCACTGGTATTTGCTTCGGGAAGGATTTGAGGTAAGCCTGTGGTATATGAGATCCTATCTTGGAAGAAAGAAAGAAAGAAAGAAAGAAAAAAGAAAGAAAGAAAGGAAGGAAGGAAGGAAGGAAGGAAGGAAGGAAGGAAAGAAGGAAGAAAGAGAGAGGAAGAGAGAGAGAGAGAGAGAGAGAGAGAGAGAGAGAGAGAGAGAGAGA